AGTCACAGAGCTCGCGGGAGCATTATGGGTTATTTCATACGTCACAGGGCGACAAACCAAAGGAAGTCGACGGCGTGCCTTGAGTTTGGCAAACTCAAATCGGAGGTGTCGCTCCACGCGCACGTCCACTTCCTTGTGGCTCGACTGTAGGTTATACAGTGACGAAAGTTTTCAATGCTGTTGCACCCATCGCTCAAAGAGCGCTTTCACAGTTACTGCATCCTTCGTTTTCACAGCGGTATCCGCAGGGCGAAAGCCATATTCCACTCGAGGGTCAATGACCGGCCGTGGATGGGCGCTCTTTAAGGCCACCTTATGGGTAGCTCCCAGCTGCCGCCTCTGAGCCCCGTCGAGGTCATTGGTGATTACATCACGTCCCTCGGTTGACGAGAAGTCAGAGAAAGGACATGGGGTCCGCAAGGCGCGAGCAGGGCTCGTCTTACGCCGCCGGCGCAGCTCGCCTTCCTCGTCAACCCATGCGGGAAAAGGAGTGTCAGACTCGTAGTCGACCACATCCACATCCTCAACGAGGTCACTCGTCATTGATAGCGTGCGCTAAGCGCGACGCTCGTGCTCATTGAGCCTAGGATGTACATCGCCCGGTGCCACGGACAGACGGTCCAACATGGCATCGCGTGCGAGACGAAGTTGGGCTCTGCCTGTGTTCGCTTTCAGAACATGCAAGACTTGGCGACTTCAGTGTCGTTGACACAGGGCTCATTGAACACGGAAGTCGTTTTTTTACAATGAATTAAGTTGCAGTGTCTAGCGGGCACGCGAGCCTCGTTGAGGCAGTAATCGATTGGAGCTGTAAATGTTCTCAATCATAATGGGGGAGAGTGTCACGGGAATACACGTCCCCTGGTAAGAGGGAGGGGGGTCACACGAGATGGGCATGGTGCGACTGCACCCAAAGGTAGCCAGTAGTTATGCATGTATATGAGATTTTACTGTATATATTTGGAGGTATCTAAACATTTATAGTTAGGCGGCTTTGCTGCAGATAAAAATAAATAGAAATCAGTTGTTCTGAATTTAAACGGAAGAGTAATAAGCCTTGGGTTAAGGCAATAATTACTCTTGGAGTAAGCGGATTGCGATCTGACTTATTCAAGTATAGAATGAAAGGTCGGTGACCTAAATTACGCTTCCTCTTAGCGCAGCGCTACGGCAGCCCCGCTGCATTTGCAATATCTGCATCGAGACTGTGATTACCAATGAAGCGTTCCAAATCAGATCAAAATCAATTATACATTTGTCAGCCCTGAAAAACATACTATAAAATTGCGCCGTTTTGAGCACTAACGAGCTGTGTGTACGCTCGTAAAGCGCGTAATCTTTAACATAGTTGTCTACATTTGAATTTCACAATGTCTGCATTACTATGGACACATAAAACAGCATGAATAATTAGTGTACGTGGTCCACGAGGCCTAAACAGCTGCGTTACCAAACGACTGAATTTTACGAGTGCATCAGACCATCTAGAATTACTGCAAGCCACTTCCAATGCGTTCCGCCGGGAGGTCGTACTGCAGCGAGGTAGGTGGTGTTACCTGGCCATTTTAATTGGTGTTACTCACCGACTAAGTCGAGTACGCTGTGCTAGGTACAACTGACCATGCTGCTTCAAAAAAGTATCTGGCCCTCCACCAGATTGTGGCAATATAGTGAATGAATGTACATTTCGCCGCCGGAAAAAGATTTTTTACGCAAAATGTACGTGCTGCCAAGCACCTGTACAAATGCATCTTTGACTTACTGTCTGCGCTATCAGCGCATAGCGGCTGGGTTTTGGATGCTTCAACAGAAGCGGAACCAGGCACTCTTTTTTTGCTCTTATTGTGAGATATATATCTCGAATAAATCTATTGAGGATAACATTATTTACATCACTTTCACGATATCAATGACGTGAGATAACAGACCACGTGTCTGACGGATCTCTCTCATACAAATTCTTAATTTCCTTGTCAGACCGGTACTTTGGTACCTCTGAGTTTTGCACAGCTGCTATCAAGTGTAGTGTGTGTCTTGCACAAGTACGCGTAGCCGTGACCGTACCAAATACTGCAGTAGCTACCCCATTACACCATCCTCAACCCTAATTTGTAGACACTGAAATTTCGATCTACTTTGGCGATAAGACATTACGCGGAATTGAACACACTAAACGAGTCCCTTAAGAGCCTTATGTTTTTCTCAACGGTGCCTGCTCCTACGAGCAGACCCGTATTAAGTGTCCACCTTTTGAAAGCTCTTTTATGGATCAATGAATTGTTAAATGTGCGGAATTAGCAGCTGACGATCTTGAAAAGTTCCTCAAAAGCGAGTAGACCGAGGGGCTCTCCAATAAGAATGGGCATAGCGACCCACAGAATCTCAAACCGACAGTTCCGATCTAACGATGAGACACATGGTAGATCTGTTCATAGAGGATGAAGCCCTCGTTGCGTTCAACAACTACTCTACACAGATAACTGATACGTAGTCGTTCCTGACTAAGGATAGTGAGATGATATTTCACCGTGGAGCTCATGACAACGTTCGTCGCGTCACCAATCAGCTAAGCCAAATTCAGTAATCCCAGGTTGCTAGTCATGCAGCGGTATCTACGTGTGCAGACAATATCATTTTGACTCAACATATTGAAACTCTACCGCCACGCTGAAGCGAAGCTTTTCACACCACATGCGAGCCTCCTGGTCAAATGTTCCACAAAGAGCGCCTGAAATTGCTCTAATATTATTTCCCGATACCATTGGTCACTTTTATTAGAAAAATCACCCGTGCTTGAGGCGAGTTGGTCTTCACATCCCAATTGCCTTTTTGCTTGGGTATAGAGCGCTAAAAAACTGAAGAATATCACAAAAAGCTCGAAAACTGAGTGAGGAAGGCACGTGACACACACACATTGAGCAGCTTTACCAACCAGCCTCAGACAAACAAACGTCCGAATGGGTGTAGTAAAATATTTGACTCCGCGAAGTACACGACACGATGTGGACGTCGAGGTAAGAAATTAAATGTTTTGATTTTTTGCGAACGACCCGGCACAATGTTATCAGACAGAGGCTACATATCTAGTGCTGAGCTTAGGCCAAGTCGACATCATTCGCTAGCACAAATCTCGCTACTACAGACAACTATACTTTTTCTTCTTGGGAGATTAAAGCCGAGGTCATCCGTGCCATTGATGCCAGAATGCTTTTGCAGAAATGGGACCTCATGCACGTTTTAAAATCGAGAGGACCCCTTTTACAAAATATGATACTTGCCATTGCCCTGATGAACCTATCGGCCTGCTATCCGCGGTGGGCTACACATACCGTAGAAGCATGACGATAAATTTGTTTATATAAATATATTCTGATATTTTACTGCGAATATTGATATCCACATCAAATTGTATTGATATCCCACCCCCAAGACCAAAGCCACGATGATGCTGTTGAATTCAATAGGATCACCTTTTTAGAAGAGTAAATCATGTGAAGAAATTTACTGCGTTGTGTGACACACGGTTAACATGAAGGAACAATTTGACTCACAATGTATTCTTTTCGCACATTTGCTTCAGGGGTATTCATCCTTCATATGACCACGCGTTCGGTCTGACTACTGACTTCTCGCACTCAAAGCTCGCCAAGTATCCTCAACGACACACGGATGATGATCATCTCATCGCCCAGTACCAAACATATCCTTCCGGCGACTTCACCTGATTGCAATCCTCGCACACATCTACTCGGAAACGTTCTTAGCTCAATAAGTGCATCCACCGGCGGTTTGTAAGGAGAATTTCAACCTTTTAGAATAACCCAGCTGCTGTATTCACGGGTCAACAAGTTTTTGTGCTGTTTTTAATCTCGTGGGGCTTCACTGGTAGCGTGGGGGCTTCACATCTAGTGGTGACTAGGCCAAAGATGAGTTGCTCTTCTTAACTCTGGGCCTGGCATATCTACATGCGGTTAATATTTGCTCGAAAAACCCACTGGCTCTTTTACAGGGACACCAGCTTAGACATTTTTTAACCGTCCAACAGACAAAAATTTAGGGGCCACGACATACAGTCGCTCATTTCTGTTTCACCAGAGTCAAGTTCCAAAGATTGCGACATTCGATTGCTTTTGTCTGCCCTTTCTGAATACGGTAACTCACTTTTTATCTTTTTTAAGCTTTGCTCGAGACGCTTAGCAACATCGTCGCCCATCAACGAAGTTGAGATCATGACTCACCAAGCCTCCAATAGAGGAGAGTGCGTGATTCCTGACGTTCTCGACTTCTGGTTCTCTTCTGACTCATAGAGTTTTAACCACCACTCGGTACATTGGATGAGACCATTTTTTAGCCTAGGTGGAAAAATACATGCTGCAAAAGCCCTCAAATTCTCAAGCAAACCTACACTTCCGCTGGTTTTTGAACAAACACTAAAATTGCATTCGTTTTGACAAAATTGGTCCCGGACGCGTAATTGCTCGCTTTTTTGGGGGGGGCTTATGTAGCTAAGTAATTGTACTGATTTAAAGCCTTCAGCGACATCTTACAGTCTCTAGTGGTCTGCTCAATCAAATTTAACAGCAGTAAGGCGATAAATGTTGCGCGACCAGTCTTTGAAGAGCAAGGATGTCGGTTCGATCTCTCTAGTTGGGAAAAGCTGACATGGTCATGGATTAAGCCATGCCTCAGTTAGACATTTCCTCGAACATCGCTCGCATGTGGTTTTCACGCCTAACTTTAAGCGCTGTATGGCAGCTGTCTCGTTAGCTGTATTTCAAGAATGAAAGCCGCGTATATGATTGGGCGAATACGTGCAGTAACTCCTAATAATTGGCTTTGTCAGCATGGGGAGTGTTGAGACAAGGTGTCACTGGTGCTTGCACAGCCTATTGGCGCGTACTGTTTGCGTTCGCGATTTTGTTCACCTTGTTACACAGACATAATAAGTAGATTTTTAAGAGCTGCGAACGTTTTGGTCACAATGGCGAGATACCCACTTTTGGAGGTGATAACCGTCACTAACTTCATTGGGGTCACAGGACAGGTGCGGCTCGCACCAAGACAAATTCTGGGTCCGCCTTCTTGTGTCAGTCGTATCAAATGCTAAGTGCAATTCTTGTGCCGCGGAGCCGTTTAACTACGGGAGACAGATGCTTTTCGGTAATCCTTGGGACGATATACCCCAGCCATGCTGCATAGGATGCGAGATACTTTAACTGCCGGAGCACCATATCGTTTGCCAATGTCATATATGTGGGAGAATCAATCAAATACACACTGCCTGCTGCGTTTTTTGCCTGATAAAGTGTATGAAGAGTCAAGCTCCCACACAGGGCCGCTCAACAAACCCAGTGTTTGAAGAAATCGTAGGCATATGTCGACTTGATGGAAAAGAGCTGTTTTCTCCTTGTAAAGGTCGATGGGAACACGCCCTGGATAAGCGTTTCTTTCTGACAGATGTGGATAGGAGTGTTGGTTGTAAATATCAGCATCTAGGGCTTTGTGAAGCCATAAAAAGCCTTGGTAAATTTATAGGGCGTGAATTAGTACGACGATTTGCGAACGGATCACCAATTCCCGTATTTCATCGAGGCCAACGACAGACATGAGAAGCTAAGTATGTCCTGCTTCTCTTGTGACAACAACAATCAACTTATGTTTTATGATGAAATACACACTCTACTAAGGCTTGGTTGTTGAATTGACGACATGTCGTAGAAAGGAAATGGTTTCGAAAGGGACCTTGCAAAGAGGAAACCTGAGTTTAACTACGCATCCAATATAAGTTTGTACACTCCCTAGTTGCGAAACCAAGATTCTTTGAAGTGATTATTGAGCTAATTTGCTCATATTCTTCCGGCGAGTGATATATTTTTTGATTAAGTCTTTTCTTAAACCAATACTAATTTGATCAAATAATTTAATTTTGTACTAAATTGTAATCCTCATTTTAATAATCGAAAATTAGTATGTATGTTCCATTGCCGGTCAATAGCGGAATATCGTAACCCGTTGAATCACAACATTTTCCCGAAATGTAATCCTTGGCGTAAGGCTACCAGGTTACATATCCCGCGGTTCTATCCGTTACGTAGCTCTATCGTCCTCATCAAAACCAGTGCTCTGATACCTTGAGATGGTTGCACAAGTGCATCAAATATGATGTGTTTGTACACATAAACCAGTACGTACTTCTCATATCACGGACCTAGACTTTTTTATCAAGACAAGTGTTGACCATAGTATACGTGATACTTTTAGCAGCTTCACGATGTAAATACTTATTGATTGCATCTATCAAGGTCGGTTTCTTAAAGTAAAGCTAGCATTTCGCTCATTCTGCTCCTTTGACGCTGCAATTGGGTTCGAAATATAGTCAATGAGAAGAAAAGAGAAGCAAAATGGACCGTACATATGTTAAGTATCGTTTGGTTATGACAATCATAATAAATAGACTAACCGAATGAGCACGTTATCCGTTTTAAAAAAATTACGGACAACTTCGTCTCCGGAGCTGATAACAGCTATAGTGCAAGGGCTGGAGTAGGCGCAAATATCAAGAGCTCATCAACTTACACTACCACATTGCAGCTGATACCACAGAAGGTGTCTGTAGGTACACAACGATTCATTCACGATTTTGATCCAAGGTTTTTGTGAAAGACAGACACCATTCCGTACTTGATATGAGGTGTAATCTTTCGTTGTAGCACTACAAAAATATACCGATTCAAAACGCGTCTAGCGATCAAACGTTTGTTATCGAACACGGCATTAATTACAATGGAATTGAGTCCCTGACACCATGAGATGAGTTCGAAGTATCCTTTTTACATTTGCGGCTCTCAAAATCTCTCCCACGAACGTCAAGACGGTATATATGAATGATGTCTTTACGATGAGATCTACGTGGCTTTAAACTGAAGGTCTTAGAATCCCGAGTCAGGACAATCCTGTGTGCATTTAAAGAGACAATGGGAGATTACAACTCAGGACAATCCTGTGTGCACGTAAAGAGAAGAAAAATAGTCCAGCTAAAAAGCTTTTGTCTGTCGCGAGTCAAGATTGAATCCGGAATTATGTGGCAAAAGTGCCAGAGGAGGTCTTCACCTCCGGGATGCTCTGATCACTTACAGAAATCACCGGTTAGGTACGTCCAGGAGAGTCCAAACCGAACTGCTGCACGAAGGAGATGGGTCCCACCATAACGCTAATCTCGAATAGCCTATGAGGGCCAAAGCACAGAGAATCACTCCCTGTAGAGACATTAAGATAGCCATGACTTTGGCCTTGCTCCAAACAGAGCACTACTAAACTCGTAATCAGGGGTTTATGTTGAAAAATCAATTTGGAGTTTACTGTGATGTTGCGTTCACCAGTACCACAGCGCGTCGCGCTTGTGATCTTCCAGTCAAAGGTCGCACACAGGTATTTTGTATATATATTGTACATCTGTCAAAATTAGTAGATGGTTGTCTATGTCGAATACGAATACAAAACCCGTGTATCTAATGACGCGGACTCTAGCTTAAGTTTTAAAAGCTCTGTTAAAACTTCAAATGAGCTGCTTCATTTGTGCAAAGGGTATGATAGGCATGTTGCAGATATCACAGGCTATCATCAGCAGATGGTAATCTCGGTAGGCCAGGTTGAAGACCCTGTAGAAAGTGCAGTCTACCATGCTGTTCTGCAGCATTTTCTTACGAATCGGCGCTCCCGCCTAATCGAGGCTGCCTTAGTTCATTATTATGAAATTGTACAACTCACCACTTTGTCATTAGCTGTTTTGAAAAAGTAAGTCGTCACCAAGTGTTGAAATTTCTTACTCTCCCCAAAACCGTTTTGCGCTTTGCAGCACTGTGTCCTCGTTGACGTGCCGCAATATTTGATCCCAGGAAACAAGTTATTCATGACGCACTCTCCCATAGGGGGTTATACGCAGGTTGGACCTCTCATCACCATATGTAATATTCTGTCATCAAATAGCACTTTACAATCTGGAAATAACATTACGGGCTTACAATTCCCCTCAAGATTCTCCGGTCGCTCCATTCACGAGAGTACTTTCCCCGTCCACTTACCCGTGGAGCTTCACTTTTCCACGCAGTAGTGCTGACCGAGCTACCGTCACATTAAAACAAGAATAAACCATTTTTCTGATCTTGAGAGCTTAGCCTTTCTGTTCGCGACATACGGTCGCTCTGAACTCCATCGGTTCCGTTATAGGAGACAACAGGTCACGTCTGTTCTTTACGTCGCGCGTTGGCTTAAGTGGTTTGTATCTTGGTCCGGGACCGGAAGGTACCTGGTTCGATATAAATAAAATCCGAATCAAGGACGCCGGAGATAGGCTACTAAAGTGGACGAGCAATCACACCCCTGTGGTGTGAACGCCCTTCCAACCCGCACCCAATTGGGTGTGTGATAGTTGGGTAGGAGGACCCACTGACTGAAAAAGCCTTTCGTATAATGAGGGGTATGGGTCGGATAGCTACCAGCATCCCGCGCTAAAGAGAGCTTAATCTTAGTGTGCGGATTCCGGAAGCTTAAATCTCTTTACGTTACGCAAGAGATACACTTTGGAGACCAAGACAATAACAGTCGTCCTTTCTCGTAATAACAGCTGGAAACCGCAATATATAAATATATACAAAATATTATCTTATCTCGAGTTGTTTGCTTACTGCCGCATTTGCCTTGCGAGCTTTGTTCGAGACACATAGCAACACTTTTCTCTAAGATTTGGACAATCACATCACCTGTACAAAGCTATTGTGGCTTTGTGTTCATGAAAAAAACGCTTCTGTCTCGTGGAGGAGATGTGTTCATGACTTGCGATGCTCAAGGAAGGGAGAAGTGCGTGGAACAAAACTTTTTCAATATTCTGTCGACACATGGCTTATGACGTTCCATCCATGCTACACTTACCAAGGATCGTATCTCGAACCTGAGTCAAGGGACTTGACAACTATCTGCAGTGTCGATTTGACTCGTAGGGGAAGCTTTGACTCTCAACGTCTGCGTTCAAAAGGTTCAGAGGTAAATTCGAAGATTGGTATTAATAAAGATGATAAATCTTTCAAAAGGAGGAGTCCGTGTTGCATGTGGATTGCTAGCCGCACGTCGGAGAATAAATGCAGATTTAGTTCAAGAGACAGTAAATTACTCAAAGTCGCATTGATCCTGCATTTAAATCCTCTTGCTCCAGGTAGCAGCGCACAAACCCAGCCTTTGTGCGTTTGCCAACGCGGTCTTTAAATCAAAGTGGTATCTGTGCAAAGTGGACAGCAAGGGATTAATATAAGCAAATTTTCTTTGACATGTCCTCCGGCGAGGTGATGAATTTGTAACGACAGAAGGGTGTTCTATCCTTGACGAATTGTTAAAAAAAGTATTGAAATGCTGCTATTATGATACAATCTAAACGGAGCCATGCTTGTATCCAAATCTGATGTCATTAGGACTAACAAGCGGCAAAATTTCACCTTGTTTGACCGCGTCGTCGCTGTTGTTGAGATAAACCGATTCACAGTGCTCAATGTGTTTTTCTGATAAAACAATGATGCCACTCACTGTCGTGAAGATGCTGAGAGGGTAAAGAAGCAGTTGCCACCATGAGTTCATTCCAGAAATTTCGTGAAAGAAGATTACTCCTGAGACGGAGCCTATCAGAATGAGAAAAGCTTGATAGATTGCTACGAGATAAAGCGCGTCGTATTCACGCAAGCCGAGATCCAGGATATAAATACCACCACCAGCTGATGACAAGGCAGACAAAATAATAATGTAGGTTTCTGCGTTTTTCCAAACCGCTCCACCTTCAGAAAGCAGTTCAACTGAGGCCTGCGGGATCGATTTAATCACGGTAAATTTTAAATTTAAGTAGCAGCACCTATATTCACAAACCTTAAGAAAGAAAAGATTGCCACCAATTAGTCCTGAGAGAGCGCCAAATGCAAATCTTCTCCAGCCACTCTTCTTTTCAAAGCTGCAGATTACCCAAATTAACTACAGCGCCAGTGCATTTGCTTTAGTGTCATGACACGATACATTAAGTACATGATAATACAACTCACCCCCACTGCTGCACACCATACAAAAGTAGCGTATTCAAAAAAAATTTGGCTCCGAAAAAGAGCAAATAATTCAGCGCTGTGATGTGTCGGTGTATCGTGACTTCCCGAAATTCCAACAAAGACACAGCCAGCTAAAATGACTGCTGAGCCTCTGACGTCTTGTCTCGAAACTTTCTCGTTGAGTAGGTAAGGTGACATCAGAATGTTCCAGACAACGCTAAATCCAGCCATAGGCGCCAAGATGGACTAAGAATACAGCAAATGCAACAGATGAGCATGCACATGAACTGTGCTAGTAGCAATATCGCTCACCTGTGCTGCATAAGCATAGCTCATGGCATCAAACACAGGATTAAGTAGAAAAACACACACAGTAGCTGCCACCTTGACCGATAGCGCCTGCGTTGACGTGTGTGCCAGCTTAAGCAGCACCTTACCAAGCGTGCCGAAGAGCGTGGCAATAAGCGACAGAGACACTCCGAATATCCATAGATGAGAAGACATAGTGGTTTAAAATAAATATAAATACTTGATTGACGTGTGCTGTGTTCGACTCACGTCAAAGCCGAGAGAGCTTACAGACTGAAGTTTTGCAATTTCATCACCGCTTTGTAATCTGCTATAAATTGGGACGTCACTTTTATCTATTCCCAGATCCGGCGTATATTTTAATATATATGGCTATTTCGGTGCCGCCCTAAAAACAAATTTGCTACACCATAAAATGCTTTACACTGGTAACACTGAGAACACATACGCTGATAAGCTGTTTCATTCTGCATATTTGAAACTGAACCGTCATCTAAACCATAGTTTTCCAAATTCTCTTGCTCGCTCTATTTGCCCTACACGGACCCGTAAGAGGTACCGCTGGCAAATGTGCCCTTTTCACTTTCTCCATCATCAACCCTCGATTGAGATTCTGACACTACATTGCTGTCATCAGTGACAACGTTTGAATTGGCAGTCGTTCTGTCGTCGGCTTCAACATCAACATCCAACGAAACGGCGCTCAAAACCGACTTCTGGTGTGACTGTAGTTTTCCCGTTACCAAGCCCGCAACACCAATGATGGCCGCCAAACCTATAAAGATTCCACAGAGGATACCTGTAGGACTGAGTGCTTCAAAAAATGCTCTTTTCTTCAGCTTGTCCGTGCTACTGAGCATTGTCATTAGTTTATTACCCTCACTGGCTGCACTATACACCTTCTTCTTGTCCTGCGTGATGACTTTCAAATCCTTTGTTTTTCGACTCGATGAGCTCGTCCCCGAGATCTTGACACTTCCGCGCTCATACTCGACCACAATCTCATCCTTGAGGTTCTGTTTTTCGCGGCGGTGACCCTTCCCATGGCTCTTTCCCACCTTTACACCTTGAACGGTACCATGGCGATCGTCATACACAGTATTAGTCTTTTCAATCGTATTCTTATCTTTGTTCCTTTTGTTACGCGTTTGTGGGAGACCTTTCGTAGGGACGGCATCCTGGTGGCTCGGCTGCTGGATCTCCCCCTCTGAATGCACCTCGACGTGCACCTTGACGGTTTCCTCTTTCAGCTGTCGTGGTGGTGATGCCAATCCGTCTCCAGCTCTACTAAACGGCACAGTTGACAGGATAGCTGCCACCGTCACACACGGTAACATCCACTTTCGAGATAGTAGTATCATCAAGTAAACTATTAGAGAAAATGCGACTGAGTTGGTGAAATTTAATCACAAACTATCGTATGGATGCAATAAATACGCGATATCGGAGCTTGTCTTAACTAATAAGAGCTTTCAGTCTAAATTGATATTCTGACTAAACTCGCATCGTGCTACCGCAACATCGTCAACGTCAGGTCCATATTTGGTGATTAAATGCGCGACGAACAAATGAGTATCCACATTAGTAGGGATAAATCAATGAAGTGCTCCTGAAGGTTTTTCTTTGATCAAAACTCATTGTAGTGTTGAAGAGACCAAAACATCTACGCCAGGAAAAATGCCATTTAAAATTATGTTGTCGTCCAGACTGACTGTTTAATCATCTCCGATATCAATAGTAAGTAACTTCACGCACGCAAAGCCATCCAAACCAAAGAGTTATAGGCACGTGCGGAAGTTTGCCGAAAGCGCATAGTGAGCCAATGCCGGATAGAAGTTGCCACCTGTAAGCAAAAAATTAAAGGTATTGATTTGAGCGAAATAGCCGCTGACTTCTTTTTTGTATTTTTGTCAGTGATTTCAACGACAAATGGAGTTTACAGTGTTCATCCTGTGTTTCAAATCCGTAAGTAAATGTGATGATGTAAAGGGAATCTGTATTTTGTTTGTTATTCCCGGGAGGATCCAAACACTTAAAAAGATACTGAAAATCAAAAGGTAACTTGGCCAAAGAATTAAAGGCTGTGTACCTCTGTCATGAGCATATGCACGTGTATATGTCAAAATTGATATCAGAGATGCATGCTTTCACTTCAAGTACGCATCTCTGACAAAGCATGCATCTCTGACATATCAATTTTGACATCGTTTCTGATAATTTGCAAAGTGTCACAAGCAAATTATCGCAAAGACACGTCGCGGTTTCTGGAAAAGTTGCTGTCGTAAAGGTCTTTGAAATGTCACGCAGAGAATTCGAGTTCACTCGAACGCCCATCGAAGGAGATGCGCTAATGGTAGTGATTCAGAAGTCTGTGTGCCAACGTCTAAAAAACAAGAAAGTTGGTGAGCCAAACATAGCTAGTCTTCATTCACTTGAGAAGCTATCCTGGAACACGAACTCACTACATCCGGCACATGTTTGTGGTGCACTGGGCTACAATACTCGCCCACTCATCAACCGTGGCAATAGTAATCAAAATATTTGAGCTCAAGTGGCTTCAAAATGCATGACATGAACACCACAGGTGATGATGATTGGATTCTGGAGCTGTCCTACGATAGCGCTCAAAAATATTGATTTTGAGCAATTCTGAGAAAATTGGTATGGAGGTGTCGTCGCAGTGCAAAAAGTGAATGTTGATAGCACTGCCAAAAATTTCAAGGGAAATTTTCACTACGATGCTGGGCGTTAAGATGATATGCTATGCTACCTCAAGAGAACATTCAGGTAGGATAATGCAAATACTAAGTATATAAGTGTTTCAAAATTAAGACAAAGTATCTTAATTTTCTGTCGTGTGACACGCAGACCACCAGTACCATGGCCAGAAGCTTCATGAATACCGACGCTTTGAATTTTATGAAATTTTCGATTTCACAAAAGGACAATGTGAAAATAGTACAACTGCACAGTATCGTATTTACTACGATTGTACCAGAAGTATACGGTGTACGTACACAGTTGAAAGTTGCTATGTTTTTATCTCTTTACACGTGAAAGAGTAGTAATAATGTAATTTACCGTATGGTAAGATTATAAAAGGACCTTTAGTCTTGATATTAAAAAAATAGCGCTCAAATCACAGAGAGGTGTGGCTCACACACCATATTGAATGCATCATCCAATGAACCAATTCGTTCTGGTAGCGCTGACTGCAGCGCTGCTAGCCCTCCACAATTATTACATCGAAGTGCAGCACCAAACTCGGATAACATCCCCGCAACTAAAGCTGACGTACTTTGACGGGCGCGGTCGCGCAGAGCTATCGCGTCTAATTCTGGCAGCAGGTAACGTTTCGTTCATTGATGAGCGTCTGGATCGCGAAGCCTTTTTGGCCATCAAATCAAAGCTTCCTCTCGGCCAAGTACCAGTGCTTGAGGTGGATGGTACGACTTACAGCCAAAGTATGGCCATCGCCCGATACGCCGCCAAAATTACAGGCCTATACCCGCAGGACCCACTTGAGTGTCTGCGCGTGGATATGGTGTCCGAATCGCTCGTTGATGTAAGGATGGCCATCTTGGAGATAAAATATCGTACGCCGGACGAAGCTGCGAGAAATGTCAAGACGAAAAAATTGCTGGACGAGAGCTTGCCAAAGACGCTCAAGCTTCTCGAAGGGTTTGTTCATCCGGGACCCTTCTTTATGGGTGATAATATGACGTATGCAGATATACAGCTGTTTGACTTGATCATGAACGGAATGCTTGACATTTCAACGAATTTTGCACTTAAAGATTATCCTAATCTCGCAGCGCTTGTGGAAATGGTGCAGTCGAATCCCAATGTGGCGGCCTATCTGGCTAAGCTTTGAAAGAAAGGCAAAGATGCATTAACAAGAAGTCTTTTGAGTTTCATAACGTCAGCTCAATCTATACCGTTTTGTTGCAGTTGCTGAGATTGAGACTGTAGAGATTTTTGTCCAGGCTGTGATATATGGTGACTAATCACTAATGGAAATGCAAAGATCAACGATTAGTCCATTCCGAGTCCAATGTGCCTTTTATTCCTTATCAGTCTTGAACAAAATGTTGCAGCAAATTTGTACGTGAAAGTGTAACAAATTTCGCTGGTCCTAAAAGGAATTTACTGCACCGCACATGTGCTAGCCATGTGTCTAGCGCAAGCATTTTCAAGTGTCAACTGCAACTCAGTCACACATCGGGCCGCTTCCATAATCCCGCAAAAAAATTGAGATTCATCGGTATCAGATGCACGGTGATCATCTTCAGCGTTGATTCTGTAAGACTGACTGCTTTCATTGAGCACGTTTATGTCAACAGAATTTGTTTCTTCGTACAACTGTACCATTTCCTTCAGTGCGCGCAATCGTTTATTGATATATCGAAGCTGCCGTCATCGAGATACGAAGTGTACCAAAGTTAGTAATAGAAGACAGACCTAATTTAACTGAAGCACCGTGCCTGGATAAGTAACTTGTTCGTGTCCCAAGCTGTCCACGAAAGTTTGTTGCTCTCCGGTAAACTTTTTTTGTTCAAAAATTCAAGCTGACTTCGCAAGAAGTCGTTTTCAGTCCTCAGCTGACGCAGTTGTTGTTCTGCTTCTCGGACTCGCGCCCTAAGCTTGACTGGAATGAGTTCCAATTGCTCAATCTAGACGACAAACGTGCATCATTACAAATACTTCACAGCACTGCAGTGATAGTCACCAAACAAACTGCACCTCTCCGAGCTTATCATCTTGACTAAGGTAAGGAGAGTAGTCAAGATTTTGATCCACCTTTTCTATATCAGCTTTCAAGTTTTCAATTGTCAACTGCTGAGCACATATTTGATCTCGTAAACGCCTTATCTTTCTTCTCTTCTTTGCAACTATCGCTGTAACAAACGCAACAATTTACTTTAGGTTAATAAAATTCGTGGGACGAACTATTAACATACCCTCCCACTTGGTCGCTTCTAGATTTAATTTGTCAACCTGCTCGGTGGTGGCCTTCAGAACCAATTCTCGCTCCATACGCTATATTATACCGCAAAAGTTAGTCGCACCATGATTAACCAGCAGTAAACTTACCACAGAGCGCTCGGCTAGAAGCTCATCCACATTTTGAGCTTTCTCCTTCTCCATCAAATCACAGCGCACTTCAATATCCATCAACATTTGACTAAGTCCACTATCTTTTATGATCTGAAGCTCTTTCTTTGCCTGTTTACACGCTTTTATCAGCTTCGACTTGGAACGCTTTGACTCGCACAAACATTCTTTCAGCATCTCATTTTTGAGTCTTTCTTGTTGATTCTCTTCATACAGCTCAGCTATCTGCAAGCACATTAGTCAACCATGAGCCTTCGTTTTTTGTGTGAGATTGCTTTCGAAAGTACTATACCTGCACTTCGTATTCATGGATGCGGGCATCGACCTCAGATCGTTCCTGGGCCATGCAGCTTATAACAGAATGCGAATTTGGCTGCATCAAGGTTTGTAAATTCAAGTTCCCAGGATATTTTGCTTCATCAAGCTATACCTACCAGCTCATACGCTGGTTCGCTGGACTGAATGTTCTCCAGCGAGTGCAGGCTGCGCATTGTTTCGTGCATCAGCAGTGGAAGGCGTGTCTGTTGCTGTTCACGCAATGCTTGTATTATCGTCTCTTTTTCTTGCAGCTTTCGCTCTAGCTTAGCACACCGCCGTCTCAAATGACGAAGCGATTTCTGCACTTGGCTGTCGCCAAGAGTGCAATTCCGGAAGTTATGTGCTATTTTGCAATCTCTTTGGCAACTACATTTGGTTTCCAAATCAAAGTTCTGCTTGATTCGACCAGCTAGAAAATCATCCGACTTCAATGACGTTGCATCGTGCATCGAGTTTTTGGTAATATTAGCCGCAAGTGCAGATTAGACAGCAAGCGGTACACGAAAGGCTTACCATAGAGGTTGGGCCTCGCTTTGGCCTATATTCATGCAAAAATGATTCAAACCTTGAGCCTTTGCAAAAGTTGATTTAGACAGATCAGGAAACCTTAAAAATAACTTGAAAATTAACAATTCCTGGGTACTCTTTTGGGCTCAATGAGACCATGTTATTCTATGAGCTTTTTGATCTTCCAGCATACTTAGAAGTCATTCGCCTTCCGAATTAAACCTTTGTTATTATGACGGAATGTATGACAAAGAAGTATTTATGAGAATAGTGGAACCAGTCTGAGAAAAAAGGTTTTTTTTACGCCTCGCAGCTATAAGTCAAACAGGCAGGTCAGGCACGTTATCATGAAGCCTAGCTGAGTGATTAGACAATCGCTATTATGTGACAATCTACCGCATTCTCGTCGGGTGGATATTGAAAGCAAGACCTGCACCTATTCGTCTTTGCGGTAGTATGGTGTTCATGCCATATCATTTATGCACTGAACAAATTGCACAAGTTAGAAATATATGAGTACGAACAACTGACTTGATGCTTCGTCAACGCCAATCATGTTTGCGGCGATGACAATATTAAGCAACCACTGTATGAAAATCTTTTACGACGAGACTGTACACGTTCCTCCCACCACCGCTTAAAACGATGACACAAAAGGATAGGGGTCCTTAGTCATGGAGAAGCTCTCTTAATTCTTAAAAGTCAAGCGTTGGTGAAGCCGGCAGCTTCGTCGACCGCAGCGCGAACACGCAACCAGCATTTACTGGGCAGTAAAAATAGCACACATGCGAGTCGGTATAGTGAATATACATTCATGATGCTAGGTCTGCACTTATAAAATTTACTTTCATCTTCAAATCTGAACCAACGAATTGTCGTCGAGGTTGGAGATTGCAACAGTACCATGTGAATAAACATACTTTTCATTGTATCAGAGCTAGGCGAAGTTGATCAAGCTATGCCAAACGTACCGAAATTACACAAAATATCGTCAATTTTGAATGCAAGGTAGTTCAACACGATGGCTACGCTTCATTCTCCGATTGAGCAGCAGACCCGCTCACATAAGTTTCCAAGGGCTGCGCCACGGCCCGCAGTTAACCCAGGGCTAGGTTGAGCTTCTAAATACTGGGTTAGTTATCTTTCTCAGCCCGTAGGCCGACTGTCTGCTCTGGATAACGGCACGATATGCGTAAATCAGGCAAATTTGAGAACGAACGTGCAAGTCAGAAAGAGGCTCATTTTCATTAATGATGGAATGGCTGTGTCGTATGCGGAAAGACGCTAATGGTGTGTTGAGAGTCAATAGCATACTTTGATTTAATCGATTCGCACCTCGCATTTCTTACCAAACAAGAATTTCATGATGTGGCTTGCAGCCAAATCGTCATGCACCTTGCACATAGAAAGCGTTGACTTAGGATGCCAGCTTTAGCAAAGTTTAGGGGCTTTACAAAAGTGTAGAGCCGAGATCCTGGAGAATCGATAAGTACTAGGCTGCTGTGCTACACAATGAAAACCATATAAGATCGCGTTGTAACTCAACTACTACTAACAATATCCTTTTCTGCTTTAATAATAATACTATATGCATCTGCGCTAATACCTTAAGTCTTCTCGGCTTCTAAGTTGCGCCGTCTTCATCACTATCACTTCTGTGTTTGTGCACAATAGTACAGAACATAGCGCGTACGCCTCCCTACCATGTTGAGGGCCACACTCAAGCTCGCTCTTATTCTGACTTTTTAATACATTCCGCAAGGTAAGACAGTCGGCAAGCACACATTGTGCTTAAGTTAACGATTCAACACTTAAACCCTGCAGTATGAGCATACTCGCATCAGCATCCTCGTTCCTTACCTATCTCCCTCTGAAAAAGATGTGGCCCTCACGAAAAATCAACTCAGAGATTCTCTTGGTAAGCAATCAGAGAAATTATTCATGATATTGACGTAGCGACGATCCTAGTGCTGCTTGATATCATTGCCCTCACATAAGAACATACGGCAGAGAAATTCACTAAGTAAGAGGCTCACTCTGCGCTCTATCGTTCTTCTGCACGAGTTACTTACTACGTACTAGTTTAGATCTGCAGATTATTCACAACATCTCACTGTAGAACCTACAACGACGTTCAGCTTGTCACCAGGGAGCTGAGCCTAGCACACAAAACATCTTGTCCGCTGCGCGCGCAGAGAAGCAACAAGTATTGCTGAGTATGTCACGACGTGGTCATTGATGAGTTATATTATCGTGACGGAGCCCAAATATGCTTATTGGTATAGGCCTTCTACTCAAACAGGGAGAAAACGAGCGCTAGCAGTTCCTCCGCAAAGTATTATTTACCCACCCCTCGGGAGTACCACCTGTGCTTATGGCAACAGAGGTAGGCCTTTCTGAGGACTACTGAATGCTGGTAAAGGTGCCGAAGAGTATTTCGCTTGATGTGTGCACTGTTTGAAATCGAAATGTCGCCTAATCCGTCTTGCAGTCTTACAGAACAGCCTCGATGATGCAGACATTCTGCTAGAGCGTCATATAATGCTTGACTGTGAGAATTACAACGATTGACGTGGACGTCGAGGTCGATGCTCATGATCTTAGGTTTTGCCTCCATCACATCCATGAATCTGCTCGTACATCTACCGAACAAGACCCAAACTCTGAAGTAGGGCAGTTTCCTTCTATAAATGTGAAGCACACTACGTCAAGCGACTCTGCTTGTTATCATGGAGAAAAAAGCTCAGGGGTTGACCACATCATAAGCGCCAACGAGATCAGGACAGAACCCCAACACTTTTTGAATGAGGTCATCTCTTTCACTTTGCTAGGTATTGGTAACGGCTATGGTAGACCCACCGGTCCACTAGCCGTTCCATGTATAAATGAGCCATTTCAAGCTCATCAAACACAGCAACGGAGGTGGACCCTCTTGCGGTTGTCTCTCATGATCTACCTTATTTATGGCAGCTCGTCAACTCTCTGAGAGTCACCGCGTGCAACGAATACCTGAGATGCACCACATATCGGATGGTTTTTCCATCGTACGTAGTGATTTGAGACCCCCCCCTGCTCTGAATCGCATCGCTTCCAATTGCGGATAGTAGCTTAGCTTTATTTGATTGCATAGACGCAGCTTCGTCCATAATAAAGCGCTTAGTAACCATGTTTATAGATTGGACTCATGGTGTGACTTCAGCAGGCTCACGTAGCACACAGAATATTTGCATTCTAAAATCAAATGTTCGACCCATTCCCTTTTGGCTACGACCATAAACAGTCCGATATTGTGTGGTCATAAATTTGTCCTTTAAACTGCAGTCAAAACATGCGTAGGTAGGAAATCAGCGATTGATCAAATCTTTTATTTGCCATACATTGTTTATTTCTGGTCTGCCTCTGACATCGGTATTTTGCCTTTGCATATCTTGGGCATCTACCGTATCGTTGCACACTCAACGCATCAAGCTAGATCTTACTATGAGGTATAATGTGTAAATGATCTGCTAGAAGTAAAGCCAAGGTGGTATCAGCGAATCATAGTTCAGCAAAGTTTCCATCCCAATTAAGAATCGTGTTGGTATCATATAAACACGGGGATGAGCCAAGTTTTATACGCTTCTACAGGTATGCACGTCGTGATCTAGCACAAATTAAATAAGTAAGAGTTGCTCACTCCCTTACTACCGTCTCTTCAATTAGAGGATACCTCCCACCCCGTGATCATCGCGTTCTCTCTAACTAACTGTCGTTGGATGCTCAACGGCGAACATACCCAATCTTTTTCATAGAACAATTAAAGGGTATGCTAAAGCTTCGCATCAGTAAGCGGATTTCAATCCAAATCAACGGCTGAGTTGGTGTGAAATCATGCCACGAAGCTTATTTGATGTATCCTCACGGAATGTTGGCACTGGCAACAGCGAATGACCCATTAGCTCTGACGCTCGCTAAAGTCCGCAAAGCCGAAATTACCGGATGTAAAAAAGTCCATACTACTGGACTGTTTATATTTTGTTTGAAAATGAGTAACTGACCAAATGTGCGGCCGCATCCGGCAGAAACTTAACTTTTCAGCACAAATGCACGTGAGCACAAATTGTATTCCCTCCCATACATGTTAGGCTACCAGTACGTGGATCTTTTTGGAACGTAATTTTTCTTCTGCTTAGAGGTGAGCACCCAAACGTCCAATCTCAAGAGTTACATGTCACGAGCATTAATCTGTCTAGAGACCCTCGTCATGAGTTTTCTTCGCATGTGAATTGTCAAATTGGTCAGTGTGGTAATACAGCCAGCCTTGGGGGAAAATGATCAGCGGTGCATATGTCATTCAAGCGCTTCAAAAAAGCGGCATCTTGTGAAATGCAGCATGTGTTGCGACTGACCCGTACGATGTAGTATTGCCTCATTAATTCGCAGTATCAACATCATAATTAACACCGTTTAGAGGCGAAATAATGCTAAAGCGCATTAGCCATACATATAAATGAGCCAACTGAAACCTGTCCACCATGATAATAATAAATTATTATTTTATTGTTTTCATAATTGATTGGTGTCGACGTCGTAGCCTTGAGCGACGCAAGATCTATATGGATCATAAATATGTCTTTGAGTCGGGTATGCGTGCCTGGAACTTATCAGAAATATAATTTTTAGCAAGTCGCTCCTTGTTGCAAGCTGGAAACTTCTTCTCAACAACTTATGCTGACGATGCGCAAACGCGATGACGCCTTTATGCCTTTGGGTATCTACTTGGAGCGGACACAGCTACGTCAAAGGCCAAAGCGTCACAGACAATATGAATTGTTTGATTCGGATCGTGAAGGGTACGCATGAGGCTTTTTGTAAAGGCTTCAATGCAGACTTTTCTGCCGCGATCGAATCAATAAAATTTTATCCAATGAGATTGATGTGAGACGTCATGCCATTTTGGCATAATATAACTATATTTATGCATATACGTTTTGTACTACCGCAGATAGGAACATGCACCATGCGTGCCG